AAAACTTACTGTTGAAACATTGGCATATAATTTTATATAAACGAACCGCATATTGTAAATACTCTTCGCAAGTAATTAACGTATGATTGTTATTAGATTTTTAAGTTATTGGAAGATATATACAGTAGACACTTACCCAAAGATGTCGTAGTTTCATTTAATTTGGGTAAAAACAAAAATATCAAAACTTCGTTTATAATGACTAAAATTTTTGTTCAACCTGAACTCAAATTTTAATGTTAGGTACAATAGAATAGAATGTTTAATAAATAACTGCTAGCAAATACCCTTCGAAACGATTCGTCAGAATAACTTTCACAAAAAACGGTGTTAGTTTCAAGATTTTTCTGAACCGGTTATAAATAAAGCTCCATATAATAACCAAAACGCGTCACACTACATTAAAAGAGCTGTAAAGTTGTCAATGCGAGCAAAAACGAATTTTTATTTTTCATTGAGAAGCACAATTTGTGAGACTTTTTCTCGCATCGCTGATTTATCTGTTATGGCCATTTAGTGATTGGCATTTAATTATCATAGCATGTTTTGTCAGCGATCATAGATAATAACCGCAAAACAGCCAGCTAAAATATTTTGGCATGAATTATCGGATAAACTGCCATTTTTCCAAAAAATGTATCGAAAACTTCTTATTTGTTTAATTTAAAACTGGTGATAAAAATGATACGAAATTAACTAAGTCGAAAAATAGTTGAAAAATGGAAAATTCAATTATAGGAAAACTGTCAAGAAACGCAATTAACAGCCTTAAAATCTTTATTTACCGAATTGCAACAAAGCCGACAAATCATGGGTACACGATTATTGATTCGAAAAAAAGCCACAAGAAATTGTTGTCTGAAAAAATTGTGTCAATTGTGCTTTCTATGCCTAATTGTGATTCCTAATGCAGTTTTTTTTTTAAAAAACAGCCGATTATCCGACACTAAAAGCTGATAGAATAATCATGAAGACAGTTTTAGAAAATGTGTTCATAAACTGAAAAATCAATTTCCGAACAGTTGACCTCACCGGAAAGTAGTCTCAAGAGTCAAAGACGAGCTTGAGAAACTCGACGGTCCTTCCGAATGAGGAACAAGCCAATATCGAAACGCAGAGATGAAGCTAATATCAACTATTTCAACTTATCCGGAGAAAACATGAAACATTTAACGTGATTTCTTCAATTGGGTGGTTATTTGCGGACAAAAAAAAAGAAATCAATTATTACTCGAAAGTTTACAGTTAAGATTGTGTATATACACAGAGGCGAAACTGCGCTTCGCAACCACTTGCGAGAACACGACCAAAAAGCAGCTATCAAGTGAAATAAGAAAAATTAGAAATAAACCTCGAATTAGCAAAAACTGCTTTATGTGTGGGATTCGAATCAGCGACCTAGCAAATTTGGGTCTCATGCACTAACCACTCAGCCACGGATGCTTAAAAACCCCAAAAACTAGCCACCAATAACACAACTACATATATTAATAAATTGCCAATCGATACAGCACAAGTAGCACCAAATACAAAAAGACAATTTTGCATGTAATAAATTGGAAAAAATGAAGCCAAATTATGTATAAATTATGCATTTCAAAAAAATTGCGAGATACATTGAGTTCAAAAAATTCTGAAATTGGCTTTTTATCATTGTACTGCTGTTTGAAACAAAAAAAACTTTTTTTTTTGGTTCATTTCATGGATTTAAAATGCATCTGCTGTGTTAACTTTTTAGTTATCAAATGTCAAAGCGCATATCATATTATACGGCTACCCCCAAAAGTAGCACTTTTATTTGCGACTTAGGTTGATAAAAAAGAAAGTTCATACTAATACACTTTGCTTCGCAAGTGTAAATATCAGAAAACAGTGTTAAGTTTTCGAAATTTAGGACTCAAATTTCAAAAAATTAAACAGGCGTCTTACTTTTTTGTTAAAATTCATCTGGATAACTTAAATCAGCACAGTTGCCAATTCAAGACAGAAGCGAAGCGGAATTTCACACTTTTCTCGATATATCGCAAACTTTGCATAGTAAGCGAGTTTTGAAGCGACTTTGAATGAAAAATGCTAGAGACAATGGATCATTTCAGCGTAAGTAATGAATAGAAAATATTTGATTAACTAAGTCGAAAATTTTTCAGTGAAGACACTCTTTCAGCCGAAAAAATGATATCATAACTTGGGCTTAAAAATTTTTTCGAAACCTATTATAGAACACTTATTTTAGAATAAAAATCTATCATCATAAAAAAAAAAATTGCCCCGCAAACGACGCAATATGACAACAAAATTTTGAATAAGCCAAAGATACATGTTTACTGAAAATATGTGAAAAAAATATATAGTATCTAGAAACAGGAAAAAATTATATTAAGAATTTTTAATTGAAATCAAACATACTCAAATTATGTCTTTGAACAGATGAAATATGTTAACAAAATTGTTCACGGGAAAAAATCTGGTCCCCCGCTGCATTACACTTGCTCTCACAAAACAGGAATGACAGGTATAGTTCAAGTTTAGATTTTGCGGGGGTCAAGTAGCACATCGGCAACTGAAATGGAAACAGTCCATTTTATAGCCTAAGCAAAAAAAAATGGTAGTTGTGTAATTAGCTCACAAAAACTTCGCTCACATTCGTCGATGCTCAAAAAAGCTCAAATTTCACGGTAAGACTAATTTTTCGAGAATTTATTTTATTTTGTTTGGAAAGTTTTATAGAAAACTGAAATAGAAGGAGCAAAAAAACTGAACAAAAAAAATTGATGCGCCATAAGTGTCACAAAAGTTTTCGATTAAATTCATCAATGCAAAAAAGTTAAGAAAACTTTTCATCTTTCGCTGGGATGTCTTAAAACTTGTAACCCATTTCGAAACAGTTTATTGGAGAATCTAGTTCACCTCATGATTTGCAATGGCAATTTGGTCGAAAAGCAATGAAAATCGAACCACGAAATTTTGAAATTTTTTTAGGACAAACAACTTTGACAAGTTGCCTATATAAAAACAAAAAAATGAAACAGAAAAACCAATTTGCTTTCAATCAATCACAAAAAATGAACCAAATGCTCTTTTTACTGTCGTTTTTTTTTTGAAATTCCTGTGATGATAGAAGTATACAAACACCTAGAACTTTAGTGAATAGGGCAGGATTTACAAAATTTTTTTTTAAACAGTGAATAGCAAACAAAAAAAATAGAAAAATCTTCAAATTTCGCTGATTTTTTTTTGATTGTATTAAGGTTTTTTTGCCAAAGAAGCGCTAATTGAAGCTGCCACAGCGACATTTCTTTAAGAAAAACTAAGTTTTTCACTAATTAAATGAAAAAATATTTTTTAAGAACCCACATTTTACTTGATCAAAATTAAACTAAATCTGAGGATTATTTGTGTTTGCTGATTTTGTCTGAAAAGTCAATTAACGCAAAAAAACAGAAAAGACAAAGTGAATTCTTTTCTGAAAAATACCTCAAATCTCAAAGCAAAAAAAATTATCTTGCAAAAAATTATATATATACAAAGCAAAAATATATAAAATTGAGTTCCACGAAAAAATTACAACCCAAAGTCTTCGGACATAATTAACTCAATTTGAGAAAACTGGATCGAAATGTAAAAGTTTAATTCCGCTGTAAAACCTAAAAATTTTATTCCACTTTCGAAACTAGAGGTCCATCACTTTTGCGTGACCTGTAGACTTTCGTGATTCGATAGTACAAATTGCTTTCCTTTTAACAAAGGAACTGAACTGCAGTTTAAAAGAAATCAAGACAAACCTCGAAAAATCAAAGTTAACGTAAAAATTTAAGACTTTTCCTGAAAAAACCTCATCGCGACCTATATAAGTCTGAGCTACGTTCATCGACTCTAAACAAAACTAAAACCCGCTCGAAGACAGTTTCTTCCCGCTTTTAATGATCGAAACAATGAAATAAATAGCGAAAATTTCTGTAACGAAATCTAACTGCGTGCATCTGGCAGAAAAATTACTGAAAGGACAGTAAAAACGGCATAAAGATACAGAGTCTGAGACAAAATTGCGTATATTTCAGCCAATTTGAATTAAGTTTGAAATAAAGCATTTATGAGCGAACCCAAATATCCGCATATTCAATTATACAAAAAATAAACTGAGGCAAACACTGATTCGCGCGCACTATACAAAGTGCCGAAACTAAGTGCAGTGGAGCAAGCGGTCGCTACTTGACAGTTCCGAATGATATTAATGTTTTGGTCTTAGTTCATCTTCGCATACACACACAAAAGTAAGACCAATAACGCTACTGGGAAAAACTGAATGAGAAAAACTTTGAGTCTATAAAATTTCTCAAGTGACACATGCCAATTATGATTCCACATAATTGCTAAATGAAGTAAGCCAATTATGACGCATTAGCAGTACCAGTCAATTCAAAAAAGAAATTTACCAACTAACATGCCTCAATTTATAAAGCGGACTCATTTTAACTAGTATACGAAAAAAGTTCATTAAAAACAACCGACCCTGCCCAGGTTCGAACCCTGTTATTTTGTTTCGTGTCTCCTTCCCTACCTCTACGCTACAGATCCATAATACCTTGAAGCTGAAGTGCTATTTGTAATATAAGAGTCTGTGTTAATATCCTTAGCATTGGCTGTACTTAATAGCTGGTTATTGATCAAAATTAACACTTAAAAAATGGACATTTTGTCGCAACAATATTTGCGACATGGGTTGGAAAAAAAGAGAGTTCATCATATTATAACACAAGCGTTGCTTGTGTAATCATGGACAATACAACAGCAAATTTTCAACTCTGATCGGAAACAGATCTTTTTGGCCCTTACATTCTTAATATTATTTCTGTTAAATTTAATCTATTTTTGAATGCTAGCTGGAATATGTCGTTTCACACAACTTATGCACAGACGCTACCGCTACTCTAAGCTACACGAATAACGCTAGCTGCAAACATGATTTGAAGAATAAAAATGGTGACGCAAGCTTGGAAAACTACCGACTAAAATCTAAATTTTCGTTTCTACAAAATTCTAAATTTTCGCATCAAAATTCATTTTAAAATTCAGTTTTTTATTTAATTAATATCTCTGCTAGTTTATATCTCCTTTTCTCAGTTCCTGTCTGCCTTTATCATTAATTAATCACGCATCCACTTAGATTTCTCTCCAGGAAAAGCGATCAGTTCATTGCACGAATTCTTCGTTCACAGCGTACTTGTTTCTGTTCACGATAAACTCGCCTCTCTGCTCCGGAAAAATTGAGGGACAAAAAAAAGAAACAACTCTTTTCAGTTCATAAAGAAGTCTACGAGTGGTATTTCGCTCATGAACTCTTTGACCTTGACCCATGCGAAGAACCCGACAGATGTGAAGTGAATAAGGAGTGCGCATGAAAATGAGAGACAAACTAGAGTTGAGGCCACTGCCAGAATGTCAATGTGAGGCTGCACTTTCACAGGTAGAGCACCTTCCTCGTAATCTGAGGCGATCAGCTCCAGTGACTTCGGGGTCAGGCCTGAAACAAGCCACACAAATAACAGATAATTCACCAATCAATTCAAATTGTAATAACAATCAGACCTCCTCGAAGTTTAAGCGGCCATTACAATCAGCAATGTCAATCGGCAAAGTTAGCTACGGCCGGCGAAGTATTTACAATGCCTTCTGTGCCTATGCCGAGTGATTCGTTAGTCACGTCATGAAAAGAGTTTGCCAAAAAAGAGCTACTAAGATCGGTCAGTTCAAATGCAATAAGTTTTTCTAAATTAATACTTCTGCAAACATACCATATGACATACGTTTGTCTTCAAAAAACTCGAATTGAGAAACTCTAACAGTAATATGTACTTCGGTTTTAAACAAAATCATCGGTTTAGTTAGGGTCATTGACATACTCGTCTTTCACATTATCGGCCACAAATTATAATTATTGGCCGTTCAGAATAAAACCCAACAGCCGAGTATGATTGACGAGCCTATTTCCTGTTAGAGGGATTTGGCGCCCAGTTAATTGATGACGAAACATCAAAGATTAAACTAATTAATATCATTTTTTGCTTTCTCGGGTAGTTTTTTCTACCCATAACCTAGAAACCAACCGACACAAATTTTACATAATCCGCAAAAAAAATGTCTCAAAGCATGCCCAATAAAATTGTATTTCCTAGAACGTAATAATGCAAAAATTTAATATTAAAACTATTCAATTGAAACCGAGAAGCACCTTTCAAAAAACTGACCCAGGCTGGAAAAAATTTACAACTATATTTAAAAATTTTCGAACTTCGAGTGTAATCGACCCTCTGTCGAGTTTATTTCTATTAATAGCTAACTTTTGATTTGATTTTCTCTTTGAAATATCACGTTTAACTCACATCGTGTTCAGTAATGGCATATCTCAATGGATCAACTTGGCACTCTTTTTGAATAACGTGCCCGGTTAATTTCAGAATTTCGTACGCAAAAATTCTGTATTCTATTTTCATGCAATAATTTAGTGATTGAATCGATCCTGCGCTTATAAAAAATTATTCTAATTAGCCTTCTGATTTTCATTTCCAGTTCTAACAGTTTGGTTTTGTCGGTGTTTGCATAAACTAAGACTACATATTGGATGATTGGCTGCACATAACTTTTATACGCAATTACTAATTGCTGTACTGTTAGAAACTCAATTGAAAAACACTCCAGAAAATTACAAAACTTTATGTTTTACCTGATCAAATATGCTGATGAAAGTTCAACCTACTGTCGAGGTTAGTTCCAAGATATTTAAAACATTCTACATCTTCTATTTGAGTGTCATTTAAAAAATATTGACAGGTCTTTTCTCAGCTTTTTGGGTCCGAATGAATGTAAAAAGTGTATCAACCATATTTAAATTTGAATGTTTTTGTTCGAAGGCATCATCGAAATAAAAGAAAAAAACTAGAAATTGTAACAAAAAGTAGAACCTTGGCATACACCCACCTGTGAGATTTGACATGAGGGAAGCGAGGGTGTGGAAATCGGAGGAGGCCGAGTACCTGCCTATGGTCTGGTCATTATAGAAGAAGAGGAGGGAGGGTGTGCCCACCACACCCACCCGCGCATCCAATCTACACAACACAAACACAGCAAAATAAAAGTGAAACGATATGCTTCAAATTTCTTAAAGCTAATGGGGTTTGAAAAATTGTGACAGTCACCAATAACGACATGAACACTATAAAAACCAACTTTACTTGATAAAAAATCGGATACTGCGAAAGCTTAAAGTACTTTTTTTTCAGTAAATCCAGGATATTGTTTATTGTTGTATAACTCAAGTACTTAAAGCGTTCGCAGTGTCCGAGTTTTTATCCAGTACAATTGGTTGCTATATGGGCTATTTCTGTGCATAACGGAATAATTTACCTTCATTTTATGGTTTTTAACAAATTTATAGGACAGCGTCTTAAATTTTTTAAATAACAATGACCTTCATACTTGGAAATGGCAGTGAAATTGTAATTCAAAGAGTTCAAGAAGGAAAGCAAAAAGTTTGCATTTTTCAGAAAAATTGATCAAGGCCAAAACTTACAAATAAGCGTCTTTAAATGTTTTCGGAGAGCTAGGGAAATCCATTTGGTCGACTTAATAAAAGTAGAGTTTTAGGTAACTTGTTGAAATCTTCCCAGTCAAAAAATTCCCATATTAACCCCTGAAATAAACGAAGAATTAGCAAAAAAACATTAATCAGAAGCATGCAATCAGAATTCAATTTCACAATAATTCAGCTTAACGAGATTGGAATCAGGAATCAAAGGGAAATATATCATCATTCTGAATTGGTAAAAACGCATTCAATAGTCAAAGAAAATCTTATAACATAAAAACCAAGTATAGAAGCTCAAACATTTCAGCTTAACGAGATTTGAATCAGGAATCAAATAACAAATTATCATCATATGAAGTTGCTATGTTTGAGGTGGAAAAAAGTCAACAAACTAGGGAACCCAAAAATTGATTAAAATGTTTGTAAAAAATTTCGAATTTGGGAAGAAAAATACATCGCGTTAAAGCTCTTCAAACTTCAAGAATAGTTAACTGTACTTTTTGTGTCTTTTACATGTGGCTATTGGCAGCTTCATGTGCCTTCCAATTAGCGATTGAATTTGAATTAATCCGCGAAAAATTTTGCTGAAATAAACCATACGAGCTAAATAAGTGATCAATCACTTCGATTATTAACTTTTAATTAAAGAAAAGACTTTAAGAAGACTTACTGTTTATTTAGGAGAGCGTTAACTGCAACGACGTGAATTGCCGGGAAATTTCTTGCAAGGGCGTTCACATGTGGCGCAAACTTGACAGAAAACACACAATATGGACTAAAGAACATCGCCAAAATACAGGACCTCGATCCATTCACAACCTTCATGAATTGAGCAGGACTCAAATACTTGACGATTCCAGATTGATTAGCTGGGAATAGATTAGTGTTCATTTCGCACTTGTATCTAACTCGAAGACTGCTGTGATTTAAGTTATTAAACGATGGATACTTTTTCAAATCTGTTACCAGTTTTAAGTCAGGTTTAAAATCGTGGTAGATGTACTTCTCATGCAGTCTACAACTATCATTTTGAAATCCCTTCGGTATGAATAATGACTCGTAAGTTATAACTTTGCACTTGTTTGTAACGAAAACATGGCATGCTCCAGTTGGCGAGAACAAACAAATGTCGGAAAGATCGTCTGCGGATTCCCGGTCTTCGTAGTATTTCCAAGTGTGTGGAAAGAACTCTCGAATATGACCTGAATGATGATCTCGAACTTTCATGACCTTTTCGATGAAGTTCACCAAGTTTGGGTTTACTTTCATCAGCTTTTCACGCGCTGCTTCGGGCGACGTCTCATCTTCAGTGCTAGTATCAGTTCCTGGATTCTCTTCCTGCTGTGTCGTCAAATTTTGAAAAAAATCCCCGAAATTCATGGTTTTAATCTCTGATTTGTTGATCATTAAGCCATCAACTTCCACCAATTCAGAATCCGTTGTTTCATAGTCCATATCGGAGGCAGCGGACGCTCCATCGACACCAGTTTCATTATCAGTTGTGTTTTCACTAACTGCAGGTACGAGCCTTGATGTTAGCAGAACACCTACAAAAAAGAGAAAGATTGAGCAAGAACGGTGACAGAAAATTAAGCTTAATATTTCAAAAAAGTCTTTAACTTTTCCAAGGGCCATAACTTTTCGAAAAAAAATGAGCGTCGCAGCTCACGACCAGTTCAGTACTAGCTTACTTATTTTATCCCTCGCGAAAATTAGTTTAGATTATTGGTCCCGCCTATTTCCTAAAAACAAAAGCAAGCGCGGAATCGAACCTACGCCTTGAAGTTAGTGACCAAATTCGCACCCGCTAAACTAACTATGCCAGCTGTGTTATCAAGATAGAGACACTAAAATGCTTACTGTGTGAATTAACCCAAATACTGTATCTCTGTTTTTTCATTAGGGACCACAACATTTTTGAGGGACCAAACAAGCAAACTAGTACGACCAGTTATTTCGGAGTGCGGTCTGTATTTAGACAACAGCGTATTCATACTCGTCAGAAAGCAGACAAATACTATCTTGACCAATCAGAATCGAGATGAAAAAGCAAATTTAAGAAATAAATAATTATTAATTTTTCTAATAATAATAGTCTAACAGTCTCGGTTCTGACTGGTTAATCTAGTATTAATTTCCATAACATCTTATTTCGGTTGAATCCTCAATCTCAGATTTAGCAGTGGTTTTTGAGATAATGAAAAACTTAAGTTTCCATATAATAGTGCTGATGTTTGTGTTTTTTATTAACTGGTTTACGATGATGACTACCGTTTCAGATGATACATTTTCTGAGGACGCACAAAAGTGTGTGCAAATTGTTTCATTGAACATTGATTGTATTCTCTGTTTTCGTTATAACGGCTGGTTATTTTGTGTCTAAGTTAGCTTCCCCTTCTTTAACCCCAAAGATTTTCTGAAGCGCTGTTGGCATCGCCATGGCTTCTTAATAGTGAACTTACATAGTAACTGCCACATGAAAAGCGATTCACAAAATAAATCCATGTCAAAATCTGAAAAAAATCCAAGATTTGACAATTAATTAACATGAGATTTAACAACAGTTTTACGCAGATTACGTGTACCTATAACGCGGAATGATTTGCTAGAACTACAAAAAAACCATTAATATACAAAACTCTCAATCCTAATCGCAATCAATCTATTCTGGGCAAAAAACGCATCATGACAAATTGGGCTAATTAATTTCTCAAAAATCTATTTGATAATTATGAAATGTTTCATAAGAAACCTTTTGAAGCAAATTTGAACATTTTTGACAACTAATTTAGCTTTTGAATATCGCCCGAAGGCTCAATAAACTTCTTTCAATATCTAGTTCAAAAGCAGCGGGTACTGATGCAACAGGATAAGTTATAATAAAGAGATTTTCTTCTTAAATGAGTCAATGAAGCACCGCAGTAACGAAACTGAATTTTAAAATAACTCTGATCTTAAAAGCTTTTCGAATAAGTTCGAGAACACGAATAGCATAAAGGGAGGCCTTTCATTCCATTTTCGAAAAGGACGCTCGTTCTTAGTGCACATCGGTCCATGCAAATGAAAAAGAAATATTAGTCTTCTAAAAGTCATTAGAACGAACACTGCAAACTGACCTCCGAAACAGGACTGGGTAAAGGCAGCCTAAAAAAACACTTAATTACAAAAGAGGCCCTTCCGTTTAGTTACGGTAAGTGCCCAGGCGGCTGGATAGGGCCATACCAGCGTTATAAAAGGCATCCTAAAAGGTGTCGCGGAAACATAGGCAGCTCAGCTTATTCGATTTAGATCTTGAAGAACTCCGCAGAAGGTCACGGAAGTCAGCAGACCACCAAGAACTAAAATCCTTATCGGTCATCCTTCACTTCTTTACCAAACTTAAACGCAATTTTCGAGACCAAATCAGGCAAACGGAACGAAACAGTCGTGCACTCAAGTCACATATGAGGGTGAGAAAATAGGCCCTATAACTATTGGCTCAAGGGTTAGGGACACTATCTCTTGTGCTTTTGTACCTCAATCAGTCGGAGCCAATTCAATGTTCGCTTATGCCACGGATTTTTAGGATCGCTACAGCTTAAAGGCCACTACTAAAATACCCCCAATTTAGATAGAAATAAGCACGCTCCCATAGATGGGTCTCTAAATCAACATGACGCATTCAAGCAAAATGCTTTAATCTCATTTAGCAATTCAAAGGTTTATTATTTTATTTTCTAAATATCGAACACACGCGAATGCCATTAAGAACAGGGTTGGGACCTCAAGTTATCACCATTAATTTTTATTGGACAGTGTACACTAGAGGCCCAGCTAAAAAGCTGTAGGAACCTGTTTGATACGTTTTCATTTTGTTGTCCTGATGCACGATGAAATAGGTAATTTAAAAAACGGGCTTCAGCCAAAACCCTAGTTGTCGCTCTTAGGAAAGAAAATTTTTGTGATTTTTGAATTTTTCAAGAGATACTTTTTTTCTTGTACAACTTTAGGCGTAGCATCTTATGCACGGAGTCTTCCCAAACCCTGTAGCCTCGATTAAAGTTCTTTTCGAGGAGAATCAAAGTATCGAAAAACGGACACGAAATCGAAACATTATTAATTATTTCTGCTACACTCGCGATCACTTTCCGTCTTCTGCCAAGAAAAAGACAGCTCTACTCTTGTTCGAATTATGTATTGGAAATTGCGAATAGCATTTTCGCGCTACTATTTTTGGCTACTTTCCCGCGATTGTAGTTCGAATCTTCTGTTCTTATTTTTTGGTTCTTTCAGTTGTCGCGAGAAACTTGAGCATGACATGCTCAATTCGAATTTTTGAAAAATTGCATATCACCCCAAAATCAAGACTAAACGTTTTCTCAAAGTCAAACTTCCAAATATGACCGACTGGCACATACTGAAAATTGGGCGTAGACGCTGATGCAATGGAGCTTCTCACAACCCATCATGTTTGGTTGAAACTATGATCTCAGACTCGGGAGGGTAGTTTTCGGGAAAAATTTCAAAAACTGTCAAAAAATTAAAAAGTTGACTTTTTCCGTGGTCATAAATTTTTCCGAACAGAAAAATGGGAACTACCGTTTATGCAAAGGATCTTCCAATAACCCGTTCTTACCACAAAAACCAAAACATCGGATTCGTGAAAACTAATTTGAGAAAAGACAAAAGTTTCCGAAAAACGTCACAAAATCGAAAGTTTGAGTTTCTGAGTTTCATAACTTTTTTCGTGTAAAAAAAAATTGAGGGAGGCAGTTATGCAATTGTTTTCCACAATCTGTTCTAACCATTGAGTTCAAATTCTCGCTTTAGGTAGCTTGTTTTTGAGAATATGTGAAAAGTCTTCACCCAAAACCTTAGTTGTTAACGGTAATCAGAAGGTCAAAATTATCATAGTACACGAGGTTATAGTCAGGAGTCCCTTCATCACTTATTCCATACAAAATCCTTAGAATTTTTTAGATATGGAGGTGATAATGATAAAAAAGAGGCAGACTTGAAATTTGGGGATGGCGTTTTGGAAGTGACACGTCATTTGCTCGAATTTTTTATTTATCAAAGAGCATATGCTTGCGGTTTGTTTGCGTCCACTTCCTTTCGGTTGCTCCAAAAAAAACAAGAACGACGTTAGCAAATTTTAGCCATTTTGTAACTTCTTTTATCTCTTAGTAGATGCTATTTATTTCGTTCAACAGACTTTCAGCCAACGGAACACGCGAGTCTTATGGTACTCTTTTGAGAACTCGGACTTTTGAGATGGCTGTGTTAACATAATTGTCTAGCACTAAATCATTACCTATTGTTGCTTTATTAACAGATTTTATATCAACGCAAATAGGACACTGAAACCATTGGGTTTTCTTAGAGTCGCTAAGAGAAATTTTCACACAACTGATATGATACCAACTAAAACAACAGTCACATCCAATCCAATTTATCCGGCCTGAAGGTTTTAAGCAATCTTTGCTTGTAACCTCTTTGTTGTTTTTCCTCATCTTGACGCAGCATACCGGCAAAAAAAAGGATTTTTACTGGACTTAAGGGGACTGAACTAACTCATGATGAGCGGTTAGTGGGAATTTAATGAATCAGCAAATATAAAAAAAATTAAAAGACAATTAAGTTAAATTAATTTTTAAAATTGAAATACAAAAATCAAAAACAAGGAACAATCTCACCTGAGGTCAGTAGATCCAGCGGAGCACCACCAGTTTCTTCAAGCCTGTTCTAGTTTTCCACCTCCCCACAGAAAGCCACTTGACAGACCGGTCTCTAAAATCCCTCAGAGCGCGCTCCACAAACAGGCACAAACATCAAACATAACAAATTTATTTGTTAAGTTTATCACAACAATTAGTCTAAAAGTTGTCCGCTCTAATGAAGTAGCTCCTTAGTTGTCGTTGATTAGTTGTCGCTCTAATGAAAAAATGAGCAAAAACGTTTGTGACTACTGAATTTCTACAGTGATACTTTTTTCTGATACAAATTTAAGGACGAAGCATCTTCTGAACGGATGCTTCCCAAAACCTGTTGCCTCGATTAAAGTTGTTTTCGAGAAGAAACAAAGTTTTTAAAAAAGGACAAAAAATCCAAACATTGACTTGCCGATGGCAATATTTTTGTGTTATTTTTTTGGCGTAAAAATTTTGGTGAGCTTCACAGAACCCGTTCTACACATTGAAAACAATATCTCAGACTTCGGAGGTTAGTTTTCGAGAAAAGTAGAAAATTCAAAAAACCGTCAAAAATTGAAAAATGGGTATTTCCGAGAGCCATAACTTCTTGTGTAACAAAAATTGGACGTAGCCGCTGAAACATTGGAGCTTTTACAACCCGCCATGTTCAATTGAATCTATAATCTCATATTTGGTTAGTAGTTTTTGAGAAAATGTGAAAAGTCTTAACCCAAAGCCTTAGTTCTCGCTCTTTAAAAAATTAAGCCAAAAGTTTTGTGACTTTTGAATTTTTCCAGAATTTATTTTTTTGCCATAAGTTAAAGGACGCAGCATCTTATGCGCGGAGGTTTCCCAAACTTGTTCGCCAAATAAAGTTGTTTTCGAGAAGAAAAAAAATGTTTCGATAAAAGGACAAGAAATCGAAACATTGACTTTCTCATGGCAATAGCTGTGTTATTTTTTTTGGCGTATTGAATCTGTAATCTCAGACTCGGGACGTTAGCTTTCGAGAAAAACTTTCAAGAACGGTCAAAAAATTGGAAAAATGACTTTTTCCAGGATCATAAATTTAAATTTTTGCGAAAGGAAATGTGGAATTAACCAATTATTCAGAGGATTTCACAATAACCCGTTCTACCCAAAAACCAAAAAATTGGATTCGTGAGGATAGTTTTTGAGAAAAATCAAAAAGCTTCAAAAAACGGTCAAAAAATCAAAAATTCGAATTTCTGAGGTTCATATTTTTTTTGTAAAAAAAATTGAGGGAGCGACTTATGCAAGTGAGCGTTCTACAACCTGTTTTATCCATTGAATTCAAAATCTCAGGTTTTGGTTGATATTTTTTGAGCAAATGTGAAGACTTAACTCACTCAAAACCTTAGTTCTCGCTCTAATAAAAAATGAACGAAAAAATTTGGGTCTTTTGAATTTTTCCAGAGATAATTCATTTGGTATAAATTATCATTGGTTCCATCCACATGCTCTAAACCAAAGATTTTGCTCCATGAGTTTTTGCTACTATTACTGAGGCTAAGAAAGCGGGTAAAGCGAGTAGACGAGCGGAAGAAACGCCCAAGCCATCTTTGGCTGCCGGGAGAACTGCTTGTAAAAACTGGCTATCATCCATTTTCACATTAGTGACCTTGCATAACAAATTTCTTAGTAATTTTTCGTAGCGTTCCAAAAAATCTTTTTGCAAAAAACAAGGGGTCGTATGCAAAAAAAGAGGAGTTTTGGCATGCTAAAGCAATTTTTCAGAAGGTAAAAACCATAATGGGCGTCTAGTTTGTCAATGACATCCGAGATGTTTTCAGGCTCTTTAATTTTTTTGTCGAGCAATTC